GTTGTAGAGTAGTTTCACAGTGGAGGCTTGTATTTCACTAAGTCGGTCCTAAAAAGGTTCGACGTACAAAAACGTTAGGAACTTGATATAATAAGTAATGACGCAGAGAAATCTAGTGGTGGTCGCTGATACTCTTAGTGTCCGACATCGACTAGCTGACCAACTCACTCAGCTACTACTACTTATTATAGGTGGGAGAGACTATTAACAATAGAATAGGTGTGTTTCACTATAACATCCCCACCTAAAACTTTACTCCGTAGGAGTAAACGGTTTTCTTTATTTAATTTTTCATTTTTTACAGAAAATATGAAGAAAAAACAAAATTTTTCTTTTTTTTTTTAGCAATATCGTAGCGTATTTCCTACGTTTTTTTTATCCATTTTTTTAAATGATCAGTTGCCTTTCTTTTTTCTTCTGGATCGGCGTAACTCAGGTAAAATTGTTTCAGGCGTTGTTAGATAAAACGTTTTGAGAATCACCTCCGTCGGCGTTTTTTCTGAAAAACGTCGTCTGATCTGGTTACTGCACGTGAATTTTTCGTCTTTCACCAAGTACATCATATAACCAATCCGCTTTTCTATTTTTTTTTATACCTCCATAGTGTTACCAGAAACAACCTTCCGCTTTAAGCTTCTTAATGATGGAGTCAGTTTCTGTAGGTTCTTCTTGTGGTTCTATTTGTTCAGCCTCTAGCATCCCTTTTGCTTCTTAACATTTTCTGTAGTGACTTCAGTTGACTTAAATCATTTAATAATACTGCATGTCCTTGGCTGCGGGTAACACGCTCCCCAGTTTTTCTCGGTGTCGATTTCATCTTTACTTTCTGAAGCTTGTTTTTTCACGTATATCGTCGGCGTTACCCACTCAACTTTTTTAAATACACCGGTTTTATCTAATCTGTCCAATTCTTTATCTATCTGTTCAATTGAAGCAAACAGCACATTCCTTTTCTTTTTGAATACCGCCTGAGCGTTTACCTTTGGCTGTAATTTTGCCTCCATCTTGGTACACGTTCCCAAACCTGGAGAAAAAACAGTAGGAAATGTTGCCTTAATGTTCCTTGCTAATTTTTGGGCTTCTGGGTTTGAACTTTCAACCTTGTAACAGAAAGAATTTATCGGTAGATCCCACAATTGAAATTCTGTTATCCAATTCGTACCAAGTAAGTTAGTGGTATTTTCTATGACAAATAGATGAGCTTTTCGCGTTTATTTTATTTAACGTGATGTTTGTAACAAATTCCCCAATAAATTGTATTTTTTCTCATGTCACTGACCTCGTGATATTGTTTGTTTTCATTAAAGTTGGTTTCCCCCATGTATTCAAATTTATGATAGATAGGTCGGAACCAGTGTCGAGTTGCTTTTTTATTTTTTTATTACTTATTTCGACGGTAACAAATTTTCTGGTTATTCCATCGTTCACCTCGTCGGACTTTAATTTTCTTATTTTATTGTCTTTATTTTTTGACCTGCAGTGCGAGTTTTTATGACCCACTCTTTTACAGTTGAAACATTTTTTATTCCTAAAATTGCAATATCTAGTGAAGTTCACCGCAAGCAAAACATAGCTTCGGGATTTTTTGTTTATTTTTCTCTGGTATTTCACTTTTTGTTTGATAATCCGCAATTTTAGAATTCTTTTTGGTAGACTGTCTTTATTTTTGGTAGCATATTTTCCTTACATGCGAAACGCCAGACTGTTCTATCTTTTTCGAATCTTTCTTTACGCTAACATATCTTGTGCAGTCTTCTGCCAACTTCTGTATCTTGGTTCGTTTTCCAATTTTGACAGTACTAATTTCCTCAACTCTGCGTCTCTTTCCGATACCAGCCCTTGAACAAACACTAAGCACTTAAAGTTGTCAGCGCTTAACTCTGCTAGCTTGAATTCTTCACAATGCTTATTCACATTGGCTGCGTAGGTTATATAGTCTTTTTCGTCATCTTTCATCAGATTCAAACATTTCCACCTCTTGTGAAACAAAGATGTCTTTTTACTAAATAATTCACTTAATATATTTACCGCCTCGGTAAATGTCAACTCGCTAGTTTTTTTCGGTAAAATGTAGTTTACCAATTTGTTATGCTCAGCAGTTCCTAACTTGGTTAAAAGAAGTCTAACCTTCTTTCCTTCAGACCACGAATGACAGTCCTCGTTATACACGTCCGTATATTTTTTATAATACTCTTCAAAAGTTATCTCTTCATCTGAACTGTACGTGAAAATTTCAATTGAATTCCATATTGTATTCTCTAGGAAAGAATCATTTTGTAGATTTTTCTCTTTCCTCTTCACAGTTATTTCCAGAATTTTGTTTTGAAACTCTTTATGCATCAGTTCCATTTCTCGTTGAAACTGCATCTGTCTATTAAAAGTTTCCTCCTGTAGTTGCATCTGGAATGTTTTCTTTTGCGCTAATATTGTCATCTGTTGTTCCGTCTGGAATTTAAATAATTCCCGGAATATATTTTTGCATTTCTCCATCTTCGCAAAAAGTTTACACAATGTTTAAATATTGTAGAGGGGGGGGGGTCCTAAACGAATTTGCAATTCGTGACCTATTTGAGCAAACTGTCTCATCGAGAAAAAAATTCTTTTCTCAGTTGAGAATACGACAGATTTTTTTCGTCACTAAGTTGACGTCTTGTCTTGGCAAAGTTTTTTTTTTCACTCTTGTCTTTCGAAAAACTTTGCCAAGTTCTTTTTTTTTTTTTTTTTTAAATG